AGGCGCGCTTTTGTCACCGCGGTTTAGTCAGGCGCGCTTTTGTCATTCGCACATTTGTGGGTGAACCATGTGCCCCCTACCGTCCCTGTCCCCATTTATTTGTACTCATTCCCTTTGTTCATGCCCATGTTTATACTTATACCTGTTGTCTTGTATATGTTTGACAAACCAAATAAATAAAAATAAATAAATTTAGAGTTTCAACCAATTACAAAATAGACTTTCCATCATCTTGGCCCTACACAACTGGTTGTCTCCAAGACCCACAATTTCTTTCTCAGCATGTTAGGGCCTCCTACTGGTTTGCATCCAACACAACAACACCAAACTGTCTTTGATTTATTCCACAATCCTGGCAGGTTAATTTAAAACCCAGCCAAGGGAGCTGGGAAGGAGCTACAGGTGTCGGAGAAGGCAGAGTTAAACGCTTCACAAAACAAAATAAAAACCGAAGTGTCTATATTAAACCTGTTGGTAAGCAACCGAGATTTTGTTTTCGGTGAAGACGGCGATCTATTTTGTGAGCCCTCACGTGTTTGTTTATTCAAGCCGGAGAGAAAGAGCTGATGCAACATGCTGCAAGAGATTGTTTTCCAGATTATGCTTATGTGATGAGCTCCATGTGCAGCTGAGGAGAAAGCTGAGGAGGCTATCGTACTGACTATCCCTGAAATTAATGGATCCCCGGGAAAGAATAATTTTATTGTGACACCTGCTTTATACCTGCACTTGTAACAATGACATTTGACAACGCGAACGAGAACAGTAGAGGAAATTAAACGCAGCCAGTTGTTCTGGTGACAAGGAAAACCCAAAAGAAGGTTGCAATGGTTGAGAGACTTAATTAACTAAAACTTCACTATTAGCCTATCCCAAAATCTGGAAACACATGGGTTTTGAAAATGAACAGCTGCATTCTACTTAATGTACTCTCACACCTGATCATTAACTCAATTACTGATCTCCATTAAACATTACCTCTACACAATTTAACAGTTATAATGTTAAGACAAAGCAAAATATTGAACACCGGTGGCGACAAGGTAAAGACTACAGGATAAAATGCTTGAATAAGGAATTTTAAAGGGTAAAAACCTCACCCTTGGGTGCAAAATTGTACTGCAAAAAAATATNAGTGGCTTAATTATGGATATGAATTTATGTGGTCATTTGTAGCTGATGTCTATGGAGATTCTTAATCGTCCAGGCCATGGTGCTTCCAACTGACAAGCTCAATGTCTTACCTACTGAGCCACTGTGCTACCCTGAGAAAGTGTATGTTTGATAAAATGCTTATTAAAGATGGAAAATCAGAATGAAATGGTAAGATATGCAAATGAAAAGGTAGTTGATAGTGATGAATGAATGTTAAAAGAAGGAAAAATGGCTTTTTGTAATACCAATAGCAAGTTTTTGTCAAACTTCTTAGACAAGTTTAGACAAACTTCTTCTATTTTTCTTTTATTGGAAATGAAAGTTGGTCAGTTGAAACATCAGTTAAGCAAAACTGTGGGAGTTAAATATTTTAAAAAGAAACTGCAGTAAAAAATAGAAGAGATTGTCAAGAATAAATGAATGACGAATGTGGATTAAATACAAAGAGTGACCAGCGACCGGACGGTCGTGTAAGCGGGCAAAAAGGGCCGCGCGGGGGCATTTGGAGGCTCCACGCACCCAGGAGCCCATCTGAGGACCGGGGAGCAGACGGACTCTTCCCCCAATGCTGCCATCTTGGTCCTCCGCCATGGGCCTCCTCTAGAAGGTTCAGGACCACCATCAGCCCATCACCTTCCAGGTCTCATTCCCCCCGCAGGCTGCCCACGTTGGTAGAGAACCAGGCGACCTTTTAGCCAGGGCCATAGCTTAAGGGATTGCCTCTGGGATGAAGCATCAGCCCCAGGGGTCTAAACATAGGTCTTCCCGGGACCAGCACAGGGAGCACCAGAGCCTCTCCAGAGCCCCTGTTGCCAGAGAGCCCAGGTCTTCCTCCACTTCTACTGCCAGTGAAGTCTCAGATTTAGAAGAAGGGAAGCTGAAGGAGGTGGGGTTTTCTGAGGATGAGGAGGCCCAGGATCCTGAGGCCCCCAACATCACTGGCCTTCCCCCTCCTTGTTTAGTTCCTTACTCCGTAAGGCTAGGGCCATAGCAGACCTGGATGCTCCTCCAGATCCCAGGCTGGCAACTGCCATGCCTAGCACCAGCGGGAGTAGCAAGAAAGGTCCCTTCCATAGACCCCCGGTAGAGAAGGAGGAGATTCCCACTCCAGAGATGTTCCTGGAAGTCCTTAAATCCCAGTGGGATAAGACAGGATCGTTTTCCAATCTGGGGGGCAATGAGCGGAGGTTCTACAATCTCAATCCTACCTTTGCCCAAGCACTCCAGCTCCTGGAGGTGGACACCCCGGTTGCCACTCTAACCTCAGCCTCAACCGTAGTGACGGGAGACATTGCCAACTGCCTTAAAGCAGAGGATAAGAAGGCGGAGACCATTTTACGTAAGACATTCCAGGCAATAACCTGGGCCATTAGGGCGGCCGCTTCTGCATCCTGTTTCAACAGATCTACCATGCTGTGGCTGGAACAGCTGAGAGACAGGACCCTGGCTACTGCGGGTACGACTGCTGCAGGACATCTCGAAGATACTGGCAGCCATGCAATTCTCAGCTGACGCCACCCTGGATGCAGTTAAGTATGCGTCTCGAGCCTTACCATCCTCTGTAGCGTCCAGGCGCCTGCTGTGGTTACGCCACTGGCAGGCGGAGTCCCGGGCTAAGTGGCACCTAGCAGGAGCAGATTATGCCGGGGACAAACGCTTCGGTGCCTTGCTGGATCCTATCCTGGTGGAGGACAAAAACAAATGGAAGGTTTTCCCAGCCACGACCAGGCGGTCGAACTACCAACATGCCTCTTACCCCAGGAGAACATCTTACCGCCCGCCTGAATCGGACGCCCAGAATCACAGGTACCAGACCCCCAGGTTTCACAGACAAGGGGATAGACAGTTTCCTAGGGACAGATTCAGGGGCCAACAGCAGAGCAAGCAGCCCTTTCGAGGAGGGGGCAGTCGTCCATTCCGCAGGTTCAAGTGACCCATTCACGGATCACCCCATTGGCAGCCGCCTCTCCCTTTTCATGGATGCCTGGGAGCGCGTCACTTCAGACGAGTGGGTCCTCCAGACTGTTAAGCTCGGGTTACAGCTGGAGTTCCGCTCGCAACCCCCTAATAGGTTCCGCACCTTCGCCTCCTCTGCTGATCCGGCCAAACGGGCCCTTAAGGCTAAGGCCATCAAACACCTGTTAGATATCAGGGCCATAGAGAGTGTCCCAGAGGGGGAGAGAGGTTCCGGATTCTATTCAAACCTGTTTCTGGTCCCCAAGAGTTCAGGTGGGGTGGAGAGCCATCCTGGATCTTAAACTACTCAATTCCAGGGTGGTCTACCGTAGGTTCAAGATGGTCTCCCTGAAATCCATCAGAGGGCATCCGACAGGGCGACTTCTTGGCCTCCAGCAAGCAGATTGGCTCAGCAGGGAGATGGTCGAAAAACGGAGAGTGGCAGCTCCAACCCAGCCTTCCTGCAGATCTGCGAGAGGTTTGGGCGCCCATCAGTGGATCTCTTCGCAACCCCAGCGAATGCCCAGCTGCCAAGCTTTGTATCGAGGTTCCCATCCAGAGGAGCCATGGACATGGACGCCTTTTGCTGCAGTTGGCCGCCAAGTCTACTCTACGCCTCCCCCCCTTCCCC